TCTGTGTGTGTGTCTGTGTGTATGTCTGTGTGTGTGTCTGTGTGTGTGTCTGTGTGTGTGTCTGTGTGTGTGTGTGTCTGTGTGTGTGTGAGTGAATGTAGCTGATTCCTGTTTAGTTGTGGTAAAAGCTCGTCGTGAATCTGCACATCCCTGCATCTTACTTGTTGTCAGTACATGCGACATGTCAGTAGCACTATCTTCGTGAACTCATGAAGCCCATGAAAAAACCGTCCCACCTCGGCACTAGCAACAGTGTGGTCCTGGAATGACCTTCTAATTCTCATGCTTCCCAAAGCCCGAGAAATATTTGGCCTCTGTGAGGATGTCCAGAAGCCGCTGCTGCATTGGACAGATGCCACCCCTAGACTCCCTGAAGCTGCTTCAATGTAATGTCTTGCTTGCTCTGGAGATGACTGTCGTCTCCCCAAGAGGTTTAAGGCGGCTGCTTTGTCTTGAAATTCTCCCGGTCCGTTTCGTCTCACATGCTCAGCAAGGCAGCTCTGCCTTACATCTCAGCTCAAGAAAAAATGATGGCAGTCGAGGAAAGTAGTGAGTAGGTAATTCCGGGACTTCGCAGCTAACTCACCAATTCGTGGGCATAGGTACCCTTCTGGAATCTGGAATACCAGAACACTGCTCCTGACTTGCACCTCAGCCTATCATGCTTGCGGTGCATTGTGCACCGTCAGTAAAGCAAATGTGCCGGGTGTGCACAATGCGAACGTCCCTTTAGGTGATGGGTACGGCAACACGGCGGTGCACGCAGTCAATCCACGGTCCATCGGAATCTGCGCAGCAAGTTCAATACTCTACCCTGTACACCCACACACGCACCGGGGCACCTGAGCACCCCAAACAAGCCCACAGCACCGCCAATAAGCCAAGCATCCAGATTTCAGCTGCATAATCGTCATCAAGGGGTGCATATGTGCACCTCCGACCTTTTACTAAAAGATCATCCTGCGCAGAGTGTTTCGCGTCAACTCGACACCTGGACCGGAGGCTCCAGGAGGTGCTCTCAGCCTTTCGCCTAAGTGTCCGCATCTTGTACTCGGACCTGTAACGCCGAAGGCTCATCATGCAGTGAACGTTTCGACGCAAGCCGCAAAGCATCAAGAAGCATGCTTCGAAATCCACAATCTGTCCGCGCTGAAGCACTGTCGACAGCTCTTCCGCACCACATGTCGACACAACGGCAAATGCACGGGTGAATCTCAGAGATCACATGCAGTGTCTTCCCAGGTGCCAAGACGCAGCTCTGACCTTTTACTTAATCATCCATCATGCGATTTCACCGGTACAGCATGAATACGGTTGTCATGATCAAGACTTCAATCGCAGAATGTGGCTACCAGCACAACCATTGCCAAGTGCTGTTTCTTGTGCTGTGCTGTGACTATCTCTCCTACCAACTTACGAACTGAAGTCTGCTAGACACGACTTACAGTTACACTTTTCACGGCCTTTACCTTTGTTACAACACAACGACTCTCAGCCTTTCGCCTTGGTGTCGGCACCGATGTAACCTCGGACCTGTAACGCTCCAGGCTCATCATGCAGCCGGACGTTCGCTCAGGTCCCGAGAGACCTGTTGAATCACTTCCTGGCCTACTATGTGTCCGTGCATCAAGAGTCAGAAGGATCCAGCAAAGAGTGCGACATATCGGAAGAGGGATGCGTGAGCACTGGAGCCACATGGAGCAACCATCACCGGCAGCAATTTGTAGGCAACTGCAGCCCATTCAAGTAATGCAACTGTGACAGGACGACAAGGACAATGCAAGCAGCCAGACGATTACGCGGACTGCTGCACCGTCCACACCACTGTCTCCTCTTCCTCATCCTCTGACTTTTTAGTAGTGCTGCTATTACGAGTAACAGCTGTGCAGAAGCAACCCGCGCAATTTCGCGCACACCAACGAACACTCCGCACTCTCATGTTCCTGAGCCCGGCATGTCTGCAACAAACACTCCTGCTCGTGGGAACAAACAGCATTGCTTAACAGCCACGAGAAACAGAAGGCAAGAACAACGCATCTCCGATGTTGAGTCTCGTTTGCACTCAGGATTATCTGCTCACAGGTCCGAGATAAGCCTGGTAGCTGCCCACAGCCCACCTGCGCAAGGGGCGTCTTCTTCGAGCCGACCCAGCCCACGGGCGGCTTGGGCACCGTGGCCTGAGATCGGAAAAATGTGACAATGGGCCCATGGCCACCCGGCCGCCCTTTGTGCGGTCAGATGCAAGAATGCACATGCCTGCGCCTTTTTCCCCGAGCGTGCCGGCTGCGATCACGAATAAAAGGCAAGCTGTGCCGCACCATCCTCTGCTCTGGAAACGGCGGTGTGCTCCTTGCCATTTAGCACACGCGCCCCCTCGCCCACCCCTCGCATCCGCACTTGGAGACCAGAGCTGGTCTACTGAGACGATTTGTTCACGAATGGCATCCTCGTGCAGACCAGCCCTCAAACCTGTCAGACTGGGTGAACGTCCTCGTCGAGACTGCAGATCTCGTTGAGTTTCCGGTGGCCATTGAAGTACTCATCGAATTTCTCTTCACCAAATTGGTCTTTCACCAGCTTACACAGCTGATTAGCTGATTCTTGCACGCTGCCACCCTCCTCTTCAGGCTTTCGGTGGACTGGTGCACACGCCCATGTGGATGCCCCACACGGTGTTGCCTGCAGAGGAAACCCATCAGATTCTTACAGCGCATTTCCACTGCAGGAGACACCTCGCGGGGCATCGGCACCTACAACCTCCACAGCCCGATACTGAGAAGCTCCTCTCCTCGACACAAAAACCTCGGCCGGGGGACGAAAAGCCGCGCAGGGGTCAACAGGAAAATCCTCGATGTTGACCACTGCAATGTCTGCCACACGTGGACGCGGCAAGGACAGCCCAGCGTTTCAACTCAGTAGCAGCCAGTCTGCCAGCATGTGCTTTAAGTGCACGCGCTGTCGTCTTGCGGCTTGCGCATGGGGTCGTTCCTCAAGAGCGGTCGGTGAGCATCCCAGCCAAGATCGAGCTGACCGTCTGCCCAGAATCCGGTCTGCATATGGTGGTCGCAAAATCGCGAGCCAGAAGACATGTCTGCTTGGCGGTCGGCCTCTCCTCTGTCTCCGACAGCGGCTTCAGGATGGCCTAGCCGCTGGCTCTGTGCTCGTTGTCAAAGAAGCCCCCGCGAGCGCTCATTTGCGGTGCATGCGCTCGCGCTGCAGCTGGGCGCTCGCGGGCGCCATTGACTTCGGGAGTGCCAAGCGTGTCTACTTCGTAGTTCCTGCTCAGAGCCCTGGAGCCAGCATTCGCCTGGTTCAACGAAGTCCATAGAATTTCAGAATTTCTGCCACAACTGGGAGTAGATGTGACTTAACAAAGTCCTGGACAGGAAGGTTGTTAGATCCGAGACTCTACCTCCAATATCTACAGCACCTGAGCCAGCATCGGGGGACTTTCTCTGCAAGACTGATTGCGGGCTGCCTATCCCCAGGATTCTCTACAGAAAGCAATGCATCTGCGAGACCCGCTGCACCAGTAACTTAAATTGTTCTGCAGCCAAGAGACGGCACTGAACGGAATCCCGCCTACCTTGGGAGGAGATGGTGATTCAGCACCCTCTTGTATTACACCTATTGCACAAAAATGCACAAGACAACTTTTCCCACACCCGCCCTGGTAGTCTGTTGTTCAACAGAGATCTGCAGAAATTACCGGAGCAAAGCCTTCAAGCAAGCCTCCATCAGCCAAGCTCAAGCCCAATTGTAATCCTCCCTGCATGCCGAAATTTAAAGCCGCGTATCTCAAAGGCTGCAAATACCGCGCATGCGCAGTTGCTCCACTGAGGGTCAGGCAGTGTTTGTCAGCGAAGGAATTCCCAAGTCCTCCAAATTTCAGAGTCCATAAGGAATCAAGGCTGCTGCTCGAGAGGGTCTCGAGGCACTCACTTGGGATTAGTTCCTTTCTGCAGACACACAATGAGCATGCCGAACCTTCAACCTGGCATCCCGCAAAGCATCGCGAGCCTCAGGAAACCAGGCGTCAAAGGCGGTTAGCGACTGAGGACAAACGCACTATAACATCGGCGGCAGCAGCAGTATTTGCAGGAATGGTGAATCGCAGTGTCATGCAGTACATCATGGCTGCTCTGATTGCCATTGCCATGGCCATCTGTGCTGCAAGCACTGTGATTGTTACATTTCGTCATTGCGGGCACGAGCCTGACCAGGCAAAGCGGGCCGGCTGAGGCCGCCCTGAGCGGCGCGCTTGAATGGCATTCGCGAGACAAACTATCCCATGAAAGAGATGTGCAAGACTTTCTCATGAAGAACACCAACAAAACCAGCAAAGAAGATGATGAGTGGAGCAGGAAACAGCAGAGGCTTTGTTAAGAACTTAACTGATACCTAGCCCGAAACTCTAAAGACATATCGATTACACGTACATTCCCTCACATACTCGGAACTGGACGAAACCCGTCGTAGGAGCTTTCGAGTTCAGGGAGCTTGGCTTTAGAGGCCAAGGAATACAGTTTTGGGGGCATGTTCTAGTACAATTGAAAGAGGGACCGGCAGTAGAAAGTAAGTCCTTATATATATATATACACACACACACACATTTTTTTCATATTAGAATATATATATATATATGCATATAAGGATATCTTCGTTGTGCTCTGCCTCGGCCGCCGTCGCAGTGGTCGGGCTGCGTGCCTGCTCGGAGCTGATCTAAGCATTGCTGGGCGAATCTAATGCACGATGGGGGGATGTTAAAAACTGTTTACATTATAGCATCAATACATGGGCACCATAAGGGGATACTGTTACTAATAAGTACCCGGCCTCTCTAGTAATGTACTTTAAACTTTGCCTCAGTGTGCAATGCGGTACTGTGGCATGCAAGAGTAGCAAGGATGTGTGTGCGAGTTGATACACTGTCGAACTATACACCGGCATACATGTATATGTAGATGTGTATATGTAAAGACAGTTATCTGCACACATGACTGTTCGCTTGTTACTGTTGGGGTTATCCTATCCCATGAGAGGCCAAATGTGATAATTGAGACAGGTTCTGGGATGGACAGAAAACCCAACTGCCCTTTGCAACCCAGCTGAGAACCACACCTGACCGCAGAAGACTCGTCCCCCGAAACGACCAAGCAGTGGTCTGAAACTCTTCGGAACGGCTCTGCACAAATGTCTGCTGCAAAATCGCAGGAGCACCGCGCGAGACGGGTAAGGTCCTTTTGCTACGTCACTGTCATCTGCGAGGCCGAGCTCATCTTCAAACTTCCTGTGAGCTGGAAGCACTGTCGAATGGCACCCTCGGCAACACTCTGGCGCCGATTCTGGCTGGTTCAGCTTCAAGGCCGTCGGTGTAGTCGCATCACTTTCGCGGCCGCTGGATTCAGATGTTGAGTGTCTGACCAAGTATCGGCATCTAAATGCCGATTGAGAGATTGCTGGCTTCATCTTTCAGCTCCGCCACTTCCGACGTGAGGTGACCCCGGAGTGGTTCAGAAGGTCCTGGCAAGCTACTACACGGTGCAGTTGACAGCAGCTTCATGCGCTATCCATCATAGAGTATGCATGCCGAGACTCCATTGAAAGGCCTGCCCTTGGCGCTGCTTCTTGAGAGCTTGATCCAGTTGGGGTGAAGGCAAATACGAACTCAACTCATCACACCTTGCAAAGTGTCAGCAGCATCACTCCAGCAGAGTAGAACCCCAAACCTCACCAAGCCTCAACATGGTCGTCAGCGCTTTTCGATTCCCGCCTTATGAGCAACGTCTTTACGAGGGGATGCTGGATCTCGAACTCCTCCGTCGCCGGTGTCACGTTCTCCTTGCAGCAATGGAGAGGACTCACCACGCTAGACACAGCTTGCCCATCAGTCTGCCAACGAGGGCTGAATGTCAATGTGCAACAGATTGGGCTGCCGCCCTATCTCCTCGCCCACAAAGGTCATCTGCGCGCCCGGTCGGTCCTCCGTGGGGCTTGCGATCCAGCTGTAGCGGCAGGGCAGTGCTCCTAGACCTCTACTTTCTGCTCGCCAACTTGACAAGAGCACCCTGGTGGTTTCAGAGCCCTTGCAAGCTTCCAAGCCGAGAACTTAATAGGCCCTTATTGCTTCCAAGATACCCGCTCGTCCACCAAGCCTGCACGAAAGTGAATACAGGGTTCATGATCCATTAGCTATCCTGGTTGCAAGCTACAGTGGAGGACCAATGGCTCCTTCGTGTTTACTCTGTGCAGCAAAGGTAACTCATTGCAACAGGTTCATTGCTAGGGCGGTTCGCCCCAGCTGGTTTGTCCAGGGGCCTTCCAGAACTACACTTTTGCTTGGCCGTGGCAGTGACATGGACCAATGGAGGAAGGCTCCACTACTTGTCTTGCTCCTTCAGCAACCGTCCAGGCAACATCATGGAACATCAACCAAGCTGCAGTGATAGAAAGGCTGCAGCTCGCCCCGGGGCAGGCTTCCAACACCTTTGCCGGCAAGGGTTCATGAGGCTACCAGACCCACTACGTACGAGTACCAATCCTTGCAAACTTCAGCACTCGTGCCCGAGTCGGACCTTCGGCGATCAGAACTCGAGCCGTCGCATGTGCCGTGTCCAAGGCGGGCCCCACATGTTTCGGCACAAGTAAGGCCAGCACCCATCATGCGCTTCCAGGCCTTCCCGGCATTGCACCACGGCTCACAGCAGACGACAACGGCTCGATATCCATAGCGTCGGTGGACGAAGCCTCTGGCTCTGGCTGTCTTGAAACCTATACCCGCTGTAAAGCGCCTACGCTCTGTTGAGAAGGCTTGCTTCTCTTACTTCGTCATGCGTTCACAGAACTCATGATTCCCTACACAACGCATCCAGCAGCAACCCAACCCCTCCGGACTCCGGACTGTGTGCAGCCGAGCTGCGGGTGCCCGGAACCTTAGTGGCAGACATAGGAGTACCAGATCGTCTGATCTTGCCTATATTCCTATAATATCTTCACAGACATCCCAGAACCGCAACTTCTGAAAATCCGAGACCGGAAGCGATGAAGCGTCCAGCAGACAGCCGAGCCTGCTGCTCAAGGCTGTAGTCTGCGCCATCCCCAGGCACCTGAGGATAAAAGCAGAGCTTATGGGAAAGCCAAATACCAAAGACACTGTAAGAAGATCCCGATCTTCGGAAAGTCCTAGATCAAATGAACCATGAAATCAGTGTAGCAGCATTACCCGAGTCCCACAGCTCTTGCAGCTCTGCGATCGACGAATCCTCCACCACAAGACTCGCCCAGAGCTGGCGTCGAAGTTGCAAGCGCCCAGCCTTATATTCCAAGAACAGCTCACGCCACTTCTCCTGCTCGGCACTCAACGGCTCTGGGCGTGACCATGTTCGCTGCACTCCGTTCGGAAACTCCCAGGCGGGGGCTTCAGCACTGCCAATAAAGCGAGTGCCTCGGAGATAAAGGCTTGAGCCCTTGGCCTTTACCTCCCAGGGACCAGAACCATCTCCAAAATTCACATCTGTGCCTGTAACGGAGATGCTGAGACCAACATCATCTTCCCAGGAGCCCTGCAAGGCGGCTAACAACTTTTCCGCATTCACATCGTCTCGAACTCCTTCACGATCTGTGCCCTTTAAGGCCAACTTGAAGCGACAGTGACGGCTGCGAGCACTTCGGAGGAGGCTGAAAGTAGCACCAGCCCATATCGCAGGGTGAGGCATCTGCTTGAAACGCTGCACCTCGACTTTCACAGGACGAGCTTCCGCCAGGGCGGCCTGTCCCCTCTGGGGCCCCGCATGCCCCGGGGAGGCTCCAGGAGCCCGAGGCAAGAGCTGGGCCATGGCTGCCGGATCCGAGCTTTCTCAGGATCCCGACTCTCTGCGAAGCCAAAGGAGATAATGGCTGCAAAAAAACATCAAACTCTGAAGGTAAACCAGCATCGTAGAAACCGGAAAAGGAGGGATGAGAGGGCGGGGCTTGGAGCTGAATGGGGCCTGCTTTTTCGCATCTTGGTGCTTGAGTCGCCCGTGCTTTACTCGCGAGTGCTAGAACTGGCCGTGCACTTGACTCGCAGGTGCTCGAATCAGGGTTGGTGTTTTTGGTTCTCTGGTTGCAACGATC